AAGCGAGTGCTCTAACCACTGAGCTACAGGACTCCACAAAAGACAGACATACAGACATACACACACAGACAGACATACAGAGACAGGCAGACACACACACACACAGACAGACAGACAGACAGACAGACACACACACACACACACACACACACACACAGACATTATCAAGGAATATAAAAAGAAATAGTAAGATATTCTACAGACATATAAATAACAAAAGAAAAATCAAAATAGGAATAGGGTCACTAAGGGATGGACAAGATAAACTCACAGGCCGCGACAGCGAAATGGCAGAAATATTAAATAATTATTTTGCCTCAGTATTCACCAGAGAGACGGATCAGGTGGACATGACAATAGAAGAAGAGATCGAAAATAATATAAATACATTTAAGATACAAGGGGGAGATGTAATCGAAAAACTAACGAAACTCAGAGAGAATAAAACCCCTGGTCCAGATGGATTGTATCCACGTATATTAAAAGAATCGAGGGAAGAGATAGCAGAGGCACTATTACACATATATAGTAACTCACTAGAAAAGGGAGTAGTGCTTGAGGACTGGAGGAGAGCTAATGTTTTATCTATATTTAAAAAGGGAGATAGAACAAGTCCAGGGAACTATAGACCCGTCAGCTTAACATCGGTGGAAGGAAAGATAATGGAATCCTTAGTGAAGGAGGTAATAGAAAAAACATCTAAAAACTGAAAACATAATAAAGAATAGTCAGCATGAATTTCAAAAAGGAAGGTCATGCTTGACCAACCTCATTGAATTCTTTGAAGGGGTAACAGAAGGAGTAGACAAGGGTAATGAGGTAGATGTAATATATGTAATATATGTAATATATTTAGATTTCCAAAAGGCGATCGATAAGGCACCGCATAATAGACTAATGAATAAGGTCAGAGAATGTGGAGTCAGGGGGAAAATAATAGAATGGATAGTAAACTGGCTACAAAACAGAAAACAGAGAGTAGGGGTAAAGGGTAACTACTCAGACTGGCAGAGGGTGTGCAGTGGTTTTCCTCAAGTATCAGTATTGGGACCACTGTTGTTTACAATATACATTAATGATTTGGACTCGGGAATCAGCAGTACAATTTCAAAATTTGCAGATGACACCAAATTGGGGAAAGTAATTAATACAGAAGAGGACTGCAAAAAATTACAGCAAGACATCAATAAACTTGCTGAATGGGCATTTAAATGGCAAATGCATTTCAATGTAGAAAAGTGTGAGATGGTATATTTTGGTCGAAGGAAGAAAGAAGTCACATACATCCTGGAAAATAAAAACCTAAATGGGGTAGAGGAGCAAAGGGATCGAGATCGACATACACAATTCACTAAAAGTAGCAATGCAGGTTAATAGGCCATAAAAAAGACAAACTGGGCATTGGGGTTCATTTCTAGAGAGATAGAAATGAATAGCACGGAAATTATGGTAAACTTCTATAGAGCCTTGGTTAGACCACACTTAGAATACTGTTTGTTGTTCATGTCCCACATTATATAAAGGAATGTAGAGGACTGGAGAGAGTGCAAAGGAGATTCACAAGGATGATCCCAGAATTGAGAGGTTATACCTATCAGGAAAGGCTGAACATGCTTGGACTCTTTTCTCTTGAAAAGAGGAGGGTAAGGGGTGACCTTAAAGATGTCTTTAAAATGATGAATGTTTTTGATAGGGTAGACATAGGGAAGATGTTTCCACTTGTGGGGGAGACCAAAACCAGGGTTCATCAATATAAAATAGGCACAAATAGATCAAATAGGGAAGTTAGAAGAAATGTCTTTACACAGTGAGGGAATGTGAAACTTGCTCCCACAAGGAGTTGTTGAGGCAAATAACATAGATGTATTTAAGGGGAAGCTAGATAGGTACATGAGGGAGAAAGGAATAGAAGGTTATGTTTGAAGGCTTTGTTGAGGAAGGGCAGGAGGAGTCTCATGTGGAGCATAAACACCGGCATAGATCAGTTCGGCCGAATGGCCTGATTCTGTGCTGTATATTCTAATGTATTCTAATTGGGGGATTGCTGGAAGGACACCGGGAGAATCTGCTTCTTTTTTGGAATACTGCCAAGGGGTCTTTAACATCCACCTGAACAGGCAGACAAAACCTCAGTTTAATCTCTCATCTGAAGGACTTACTATATCAGGGATGAGCAGAATTTCCAAACTGGATTCCTGTTTCCAGAATGTGATTTTTTTCAAACCTGACATTTGTCTAGTAATAGAATCCCAAACTAGACCAATTTCTATATATGTACTCCACTTAAGCATGGAAATTTTCATGTGTCTTGGTATACTCATCAGTTCCTGAGCCATGCCTGGGCTGTCTCCACAGTACTCCAGGGCACTGCTGCAGACAGCCCAGGCAGGTTGGCGCATCAGCAAGACTTGGTCACTGGGGGCAGCTTCCGTTAACCCTGGAAGCTAAAGCACCAACAGGTAGGGTGGTCCTAGCTGGACAAGCAGCTTGCCAGACAGACAGACAGTTCAAGATCCTGGTCCTCACCTACAAAGCCCTCCATGGCTTCGCCCCACCCTACCTCTGCGACCTCCTAACCCCCTACCAACCTGCCCGCTCCCTCCACTCAGTTGGCTCCGGAGAGCCTTCAGCCATTCTGCACCCAACCTCTGGAATTCAATCCCCCAGTCACTGCGCCTCGCCCCTTCCTTAGTCTCCTTCAAGTCCCGGCTCAAAACCCTCCTCTTTGACCATGCCATCGGTCACTCCCCTTCCCCTCCCCCCCCCCCCCCCCCCCGACCTCAGCTCGGGTCTGAAATGCTGTACACTGTCCAGCGCCTTGGGACGTTCTCCCGACATGAAAGGCGTTATACAAATGTAATCTTGTTGTTGTTCACAAAGGCAAGCTATATGGTTTTAGCCGATTAGAGTCCAGCAGTACCCCACCGCATAAAAGGTAAACAGAAGGTGATAGAGACAAAGATTAGACAAGTGCATGATTAAATAGTTTTAACATTCACACATTTACAATTGTAAGTAAATATGTAAAAGAATTTCACAATGGTTTCTTGAAAAGTGTTTTTATAACTGAATTTAATGACATTTAATTTATACATATATTTTGAAAAAGCTATAGCTCACTTAAAATAAATAATTGAATAATCTATTAATGGCTTGAAACAGCGCTGCAGAGTTCATTTACCTTTGCAAGTATTTCACAACAACTCTTATTGTGCAGATGGCTGAACTGATTAAAATACATGTTTGCCTTAACTCTCTCTGCTTTACCTCAGCAAATGTATAATCGTTATTGTCGGGTTACATAAGATTGACCAGGGTAGCCTCCAATGCCAAATCATTGTGTGTCAGCCTTACTCAGGGGTGGGGTAGTACCCGTGATGCTGGGTCAGATATTGTGGGATCAAGTCTCATATTGGGAATTTGGACTCATATACTCCAAGCTGACAATCCAATGCAGTATCAGGGGATGTGCTACATTGTCTAAGGTGCTGTCTGTTATTTGAGTTGTTAGCCAGGTGTCTGACACATGTGGAAATACATCACCATGCTTAAGAGTACCATAGCAAACTGAAGATTTGATGTATCCCATCTACACATGGAATGTCCCGTTTATTGGAATGGAATGTGGACTTGTTCCTTGTAGTGACACATCCTACTTCCCTAATTGTGGAAAGTAATAGGCACAGGCTGCTGAGAGCTAAGTATTGGGTCCCCAGAATGTGCCTTGGGTTAGTAGTTTAACCAGCTAAAACTGCAAAGGTTGCCTTTGAATGTACAACAATTTGCATTTATACAGCACACTTCATGTAGGGTAGAGTCTTGGAGCACTGAATCATGGCAGAGCCGGGGGAGGAAGGAGGTGACCTTAAGCAGGAAGGTCTTCAGGCGTGATCTGAAAAGGGGGAAGGAGGGGGCAAGGAGGAGAGATTAAGGGAAATATTTCCAAAGTTTTGGGACATAGTAGTGGAAAGCACAACCGCTGATGGTGGAGCAGAGGGCCGAAGGACAATTGGGAGGCAGACTCAGCTGAGCGAAGGCAGTAGGTGGTGGAATGAGGAGTAAGCAGGTCAGAGAGTAGGGAGGTGCCAGGGTGTGACGGGATTTGTAGACAAGTTTGAGATACAGTACTGTCTGCAAATCTTTGCCCAGGTGCTTGCAAGGCGAGTGCTCTAACCATTGAGCTACAGGACTCCACTATGTATTAAATAGTAGCATAATATGCACGGCATCATGCTTTGCCATTGTCAAGCGCTCTATGTGGCGTCCTGTAGCTCAGTGGTTAGAGCAAGCGAGAGACCTGAGTTCAATTCCAGGCAGGACAAAACCTTGGGCAAGTTTCCTTACTCCACACACCTAATAATAATCTCTCCAAAACCAAAACCAATAATAAATTGGTCATTTTCAATCTACGACTGTTTGTGGGACATTGCTACATTGCTGTGCGCAATTGGCTGCCGCGTTCGCCTACAAATATACAGTCAATTCACTTTACAGTGTGTTCTGTGAAGCGCTTTGGGACGTCCTCCTGATGTGAAAAGCGCTATATCAAATGCAAGGATTATTATTATTATTATGTGAGCGGCGCTATATAAATGCAAGTTGTTGTTGCACTAGCATAATACAAAACTGGAAACAAACACTTTACATTTTGCCTGAGACTTGCTATTTTATAAACAACTAAATCTGCAAATGCCCATCAACTTACATATTGTTTTTTTAAATTTGTTGGACTTGTCTTCATTAAACTTATAAAATGTACAAAATTAACAATTTCAACAGACAACAGGTCATGAACAAGAACCTAGTGACATATTAATGATAAGCGTTGCAAACACCGTACCTAGTTAAATAAAATATTATTGATATAAATATTTCAGCAACACAAATTATATTTTAGACACTTTTTAAATAGATCACCAAATTTCCCAAAGTGAGCCTCCATAATATAACACCGTGATTCTCTTAGGAAGAGAGGAAATGCAAAAAAGGGTTTACTATACCTTATGGTTTCCTCAATCATGTAGTAGCAATAAACAATGAAAGAGAAGTCCTCGACTTAGTAGAAAGCCTGCGGCAGTTATTCACAGTGTTAGCAGTGCAAAGAGCATTTGTTTTACAGGGAAAACATTTCAGGGAATGTGTCAATGATTAGCTCAGCACCTTCTATGAGAAACTCCATAAAAGTTTGTTATCTGTTAGTTAGCTGACTGAAGATTGATTGCAGGACTGTAAATTTGTAATAAGACTCTTGCCTCACTGCAAAGCTATTCCTGGCAGACAGTACCTGCAAACCTACGACACTGTCAGGCAAGGCAAATCTATTAGATTCATATATTATGTCTCACATTATGGATATTGTTCTTGAAAAGGTGGACATTTGTGCAAAACTGCCAGGCAATTAATGTGTGCCAGGTTGGATCAATTGGTAACACTCTTGCCTATTAACACTTGCCTTATAAGTAGAGAGACTGGGTTCATTTCCCGGCAGTCGAAACCTTGGGCAAGTTTTCTCGCTTCACGTGCTTGATAATAATCCCTCAAGAAAAAAACAATAATAAATTGGTCACTTCAATCCACGACTGTTTGTGGGACATTGCTGTGCGCAATTGGCTGCCGCGTTCGCCCACAAATATACAGTCAATTCACTTTACAGTGTGTTCTGTGAAGCGCTTTGGGACGTCCTCCCGACGTGAAAAGCGCTATATCAAATGCAAGGATTATTATTATTATTATTATTATTATTATTCTGTGAAGTGCTTTGAGACGTCTAGAAGATGTGAAAAGCGCTATATCAAATGCAAGGATTATATTTTTTTATTTTATTCCATGGCTGTTTGGGTGAAATTGCTGTGAGTAAAATTGGCCGCTGCATTCATCCACAAAACACACACCGTGATTCCGCTTTACAATACATCCTGTAAACTGCTTTGGAATGTCCGTTTGACAAAACTATTTTCACCCAAATTTAAAATGACAAAAAAAGTGTTGTAATAAAATGAACTATTATAAATTTGAATAAAATCATACAATACCAATTATCAGGATTTGATTATTGTGATTTCATTCTTTGGGGACAGTAAAAACAGTAATTGTATTCTAGGTTTTCTATATTGAACACAAGATCGATACAAAACATTGGTTAGACCAGTGTGGTCCAAACTTTTGGTTGCCACGGGCCGCATTCCCATTTGAGAGAGGACCCGGGCTATATCCTGCCCCAGACCATTTCCACCATTCCAACTTCCGCTCCCTCCCTCCCTGGTGAACGTCCTCTCAGGGTAGTGGCAGGAGCTGGTGGTTGGGGCACAGAGCCTTTAATGCAGTCTTTCAGGAAGGCAAGCGGGTCTCTCACCAACCACATCCTTAGCAACCAATCCCTGGCTCTCTGCAGATAGTGACCAGGGCCTGGGAGATTGGGAGAGATAGTGGGGTGGGGAGAGGGGGGGTGGGGGGTGAGAGTGTGAGGGGGGGAGAGAAAGAGGGGGGAAGGGGGACAGAGAGGTGGAGGTGGGAGGACATTCTCTGCCACTCTCTCTCAGGCACTTGCTCTCTCCTCTCTCCTTCTTACACTCTCCCCCTCTCACACTCCCTTAATCTCTCTGCTCTCCCTCTCTCAATCACTACATCACAGTCGCTCTCTCTCTCTCCCCATTTCTTACCTCTCATACATATACATTTTGTCCTCACCCCCACTCTTCCCCCCCCCCTCTCCCCGCACCTCTCTCTCCCAGGCCCTGGTCACTATCTGCAGAGAGCCAGGGATTGGTTGCTAAGGACGTGGTTGGTGAGAGACCCGCTTGCCTTCCTGAAAGACTGCAGTAAAGGCTCTGTCCGCTGTGTCCCCCCAACCGCCAGCTCCTGCTACTGCCCTGGGAGGACGTTCACCAGGGAGGGAGGGAGAGGAAGGTGGAATGGTGGAAATGGTCTTGGGCAGCATAAAATCACCTGCCTCTGGACAGGCAGTTACAGACAAAATGTTCACAGCCACGAAGTGGGAATAGTGAAGTTTTACTAGGATAATACACGGGGCAAGATACAACAACAACATTTTGTATTTACATCTCACCCTTCATCATCAACAACAACAACAACAAAATTACATTTATAGAGCGCCTTTCACGTCAGGAGGACGTCCCAAAGCGCTGAACAGTCAGGTGTCGGGGCTCGAGCATGGGGGAGGGGTGGTGTAGGTGTGAGGAAAGACAGAAAGGTGGGAGGGAGACCAAAGGCACGGTCGAAGAGAAGGGTCTTGAGACCGGCATTGAAGGAGGCAAGGGAGGAAGCGAGACGAAGGAACTGTGGGATTCAGTTCCAGAGTGTGGGGGCAGAGAAGCTGAAAGCTCGGCCACCGATGGTAGGGCAGGTCGAGCGGGAGACATGGAGCAGGTCGGTGCCTGATGAACGGAGGGAGCGGGCAGGTTGGTATGGAGTCAGCAGGTCAGACAGGAAGGAGGGGACAAGGCCATGGATGGCCTTAAATGTGAGGATGAGGATCTTGAATTCAATCCTCTGGGGGATGGGGAGCCATTGGAGTCGGGCAAGGGTGGGAGTGATGGGGTTGCAGAGCCTGGTGCGTGAGAGTACACAAGTTGCAGAGTTTTGGATCATCTGCAGCTTGTGAAGGGAAGAGTTGGGAAGGCTGATGAGGAGGGAGTTCCATTAATCGAGCCTTAATGTGACGAATGGTGGGTGAGGGTTTCGGCAGCCTGAGGGGTGAGGGAGTGGCAGAGTCTGGCGATGTTGCGGAGGTGGTGGTGGCAGTGCCGGTCATGGCGCGAATGTGGGGGCGAAAGCGCAGTTCAGGGTCAAACAAAACACCCAGGTTCCTGACTGGCTTAGTGAGGTTGAGTGTGCAGCCATGGAGGCTTGTCTGTCAGTGCCTGAGGTGCAGAGGCGTTGGCGTGAGCCAATCAGCAGGGCCTTGGTCTTGCTGACGTTGAGTTGGAGAATGTTGTCCCTCATCCAGGACTTGATGTCGGACAGGCAGTCGGTCAGGACGCCAGTGTTCCTGGAGTTGAGGGTGGAGACAGAGCGATAAGAGTTGGGTTGAGGACAGAGCCCTGAGGGACACCGCACGAGACTGTGCGGGGGCTGGAGGAGAAGCCCTTTGCCGTGACGAAGTGGAGGCGGTGTGAAAGGTAGGATCTGAACCAGTCAAGGACAGAACTTTGAAGGTTGAGGTGGGAGGAGAGGCGGTGGAGGAGGACTGAGTGTTCCATGGTGTTAAAGGCGGCGGAGAGGTTGAGGAGGATGAGGAATGAGTGGGAGCCCTGGTCGCACATGGTCAGGATGTCGTTTGTGACCTTGACCTGTGGGCAGCACGGAAACCTGATTGGAGGGGTTCATGGAGGGAGTGAGAGGAGAGGAAAGAGCAAAGCTGGGAGTCAACGGCTCTCTCAAGGACCTTGGATAGAAAAGGGAGATTTCAGATGGGCCGGTAGCTAGATAGCTGTGATGGGTTAAGGGAAGGTTTCTTCAAGGTGGTGGTAATAGTGGCTAGGATAATGTAGGATCATCTCCTACATTATGATTCATGTAGGATAATGTCCTGGAGCACTGTGAAGGGATGGGAGTTTCAACTAAGACGGTATAATACAATTTACAATACAGAACCAAGACCTATCACACAGCTGTCAGGGCATCTGATGGGTGTGTAGGGGATGGAGGAAGATGATCAACAGTGGTCAAAGAGAAGAGTCTTAAGTCAGGTGTTGAATGGAGAGGGAGAGTCGAGTTGGAAGGACTCCAGGAGGGAGTTTCAGTGAGTGGGACCAATGGTAAGGGGAATCGGACAGTGGGCCAATGTTCTCTTGTGCCTATGCTTAAACTAACAGTTTTTGAAACCTGAGGTGAGAGTGTTATCAACTGAACCAGCATAACTGTAACTTACACATAGGATTGTTTGGGCTATGGAGTAGCTTACCAAAAATGGGTGTTGAAAATCGCATCTGTAATCGTACTTGAAAGGAAGTTAGTTGAATGCGTGAGAGAAATAATATTAAAGGGCTCAGAGTAACAGCAGGGACAAATGACTCGAGTGGAGAGCTCCAACAGGTTGCTAGCACCAGGATGGACACAATGCTTTGAATAGAGCTGTCTTCTGTGCTGTAAACATTCTGCCCTTTTAGGATTCTGATTCTGTAATTCTGTGACTTTTAGACCTGAGGCCAGAAAGCATTTATCACACAGAAGGTTGTGAAGATGCGGAGCACTCTGCCCCAGAAGTTTACAAGGGCGGAATTGATAGCCATCGTTTAAAAAACTAAAGATGGACAGATAATAATAATAATAATAATAATCCTTGCATTTAACATAGCCTTATCACGTTGTTGAGACGTCTCAAAGCGCTTCACAGAATAAACTGTAAAGTGTAGTGATTGTATTTTGTTGGCGAAATGCGGCAGCCAATTGCGCACATACTTCAGTAGTAGAGGCATATAAGTGTGTGCAAAAGGGCCCAGCACTGGGAATAAAAGATCTACCAAAATCTGGTGGTATTAAACTTGTGGAACAAACTTAGTTTTGCAGAAACAACCAGCACATAAGCAGAGCAATATAATGCTCCTAACTGAAGTAGAAAATCAACTGCAACGTATGGAGAGCCTGTCTAGTGTCGTGGAGAGGATCATGGGAAGAAGCATAGGAATTGGGTGCTGCATCTGCTGTGGTTAGGAAAAATAAGCACATAGGAAAGCAGAAACAGGAGGAAACCATACAGCACTTTGAGACAGTTTGCCTCTGCATTCTCTTTTGGATGAGATGTTAAACCAAAATCCTGTGTGCCTGTTCAGGTGGACATTAAAGATAGCATAAAAGAGAAAGATTTTTCCCGGTATCTTGACTCACAATCTTACAAATGCAAAAGGTTGAAAGGATTATTTATTTAACTAATTGTAATGTAGGCAACAACAACAACAACTTGCATTTATATAGTGCCCTCTACGTTGGGCGGCATCCCAGGGCGCTTAATAATAGTGGAGTCCGATGCCGAGCTAGGGGGAGGGGAAAGGTGACCATAGGCACAGTTGAAGAGGAAGGTCCTCAAGCGCGACCTGAAAATGGGGAAAGAGGAGGCAAGGTGAAGGGATTGAGGGAGG